AAAAAGTTGAATTATTTAAAAAAAAATTGCGAACATTGTCCTTGCAAGAAAATTGTTGTATACCATCAGCCATATGGCTAGAGAGGGTATATATTATTTAATACGGCCAAAATGTGCCTCATCGACGTTTTTAACGGTTTTAGACTAAATCCGTCAATCCAAATGTCAAAAATTTACTGCACAGAAAGAAAGAGGATAATCTGATTTTGCTCCAACTTTGCAAATCGTAATACAGGGTTGCCCATATTCGACGGACCCATGACTCTTTGGGCCCATTCCAATCGACGAGGCTTGTCCGCAGGCAACATTCTTTGCTTCAATTGAATTTTGTACGGGAACAAATGCAAATCAATGCGAATAATCCGTTGTAAAGTGGACCGAGCCATGCCCAACTGCTGAGAACGGCGTTTTTGGGATGTTCTTGGGGACCTCTCAACACTGGCTCGTACGGAAGCGATATTCTCGGCCGATCGCCTTGGTCGACTTTTATGTGGGCTCTTCGGATTAGAAAGAGCCTTACCAGTCGAAAATTGTTCGTATTAACGCTTAATGGTGTTCTTAGAAGGCGCACTTCTCACATGTTTTAATGTTTTAAAAGCACGTTGAGTTTTCACAATTGACTTCTTCTGTTGAATGTAAATTTCAACTATTTCGCGTGGCGTGTATTGGTTCATGGTAAAAATCTGCTTGGACTGACGCTTCAAACGCGGTATGTCATTAAGCGATGTGACATCTCTGTCAAAAGTTATGGCGTTGCCAGATGGGTCCGTCGAATATGGACCACCCTGTATTTCCATCAGCGTCAGGTCACGTGCGAATATGGACAATATGGGTCCATTCCATCAAGTATCTCCCCCCACAAAGTGTCAAAATTTTGAATAATTATAACTGTTATAAAATGTGATGTAAGAGTCCGATTGTCTTCAAATTTCACTCATCCTAATATTTCTATTAACTCAAGGTCTGATGTGATGATGGAATATATCGATCCAATCCTTCTGGTACCTCCTCCACAAAGAATCAAAATTTTGAATATTCATGAAGCTCATAAAAGGAAATTACCATCCGTTTCCATTCAGACTTGGCAAATCTGAATATTTCTATTAACACACGATCTGTTATAAAGATGGTAGAGATCGGACCATTCCTTCGGGTACCTGTCCCATAAAGGGTCAAAGATTTGAATAACCAAAAAGATTATAAAATCCGAAATAAGCATTCGGTTCTCTTCATATTTCACACATCCCATTGTTTCTACTAACAAAAGATCTGCTGTGAAGATGGGATATATCGGTGTACTCCTTCTGGTACCTCCCCCATAGAGGGTGAAAATTTTGAATATCCATAAAGCTCATAAAACACGAAATTAACTTCCGATTCCATTCAGACTTGATACATCTCAATATTTCCATCAACACAAGATCCTTTATAACGATGTTAGAGATTTGACCATTCCTTCTGGTACCTCCCCCACATAGGGTTCAAAATTTTGAAAAACAAAATGCTCAAAAAAATCGAAATAAGCATCCAAATCTCTTCGAATTTTTCACACTTACAAACATTTTTGCAAACACAAAATCTGTTGCGAAGATTGCGAAGGGTGAGATAAAAAAACTGCAACAAATTCAAACGCCATAATTTTTACATTTTTTTTTAAATTTTATTGATTGAAAACCAGAAATGCCGGCAATAGCATCAAATTTTGGAAAAAGTTTAGATTTGTTCGAATTAGAATATTGCGATAGGTCACGAGCCATTTTTCGGCCACTGCGACGCGGGTTTCGATCAAGTCGCTTTTTTACTTTTCGAACCGTTTCTGCTGATGTTGCTGTTTTCTTCCGTCCAGTTTCCTTGACGTCGAGCTACGCTACCAGTATCACGGTAACGAGCGATGGTACGAGACACAAGAGATTTATTCACATTTAAATGCTGGAGTGCTCTAACGATAGCCACTTGTGGTTTTCCAGCCAAATATAAAGAAATCACACTATCACGGCTGAATTCCATCACGAATAACTTTTTTTGCTGGACAATTCTCATCAAAATGCATTTGTATGCCTGTAACCAATATAATGAGCTGTCACTGGAATAATTTTAACATCTGTCGGACGAGTGGCTTAGAAATGACAGCAGTCTGAAGTTGGTTGCAGTTTTTTTTTTCATCTCACCCTGTATGTGAATTCCTGGCGTTTATTTAAGCTTTATAGCTTTGACGTCTTCTAGAACCTATAGTAGAATTTCATGGCAAATAACTTTGTGGAATATTTTAACTTGTTACGATCCCGTTTAAAGGGAGTTTTTAACCATATTTTCAAAAAAGGACCAAAAATACCCCTTTTTTTGACTCGCTTGAGGGTTAACATATCGAACAAAAATAATCTTCGTTGGTTTATCTGCAATATTGCCAAAGACACTATATACCTAAAACCGATGGATTCCATGGAAACTTAATCCGACAATGTTCAAAAGTGTGGAAGAAGGGGGAACTTGCCGCCTAGATTTTTATTAATTTGCGAAGTTAAATTCTATTATCTTCTTTTTTATATTATTATTTTTTTATTTTTTATATTTCAATTTTTCCATCTACTTTCATAATCTGCTAGATTTTTCCTGAAATTATTTTATAACTTTTTTTTGATATTTATATAAAAAAGGGGGAAACCAAATACCTAGATTGTCGAAATTTTATCCACATATCATTGATAATCTGCCTTGAAATACCAAAACCCTGCACCAAAAAAGTATCAACAGAATTTCAATTTCCTTTTCAACAAATACCATGTTTTGCAAAAACTAGGAAAAAATACAAAAAAGAAACTACAAAAAAGTTCATTCACTTTATTTTCGGTTGTTGCTTTTTTCCCTGATTTCATTTTAGGAAACATTTCATTATCAGCCAAGCGAAAATAGCCGAAAGGATATTGTTTTGTATGCAATCTAAAAATGAGGAGCCCGTTGACGGTGGACAGGAACGAAAAAAAAACATGGGAAAAAACGTTTTGTTAGTCAAAAAGTACAAAATAGAATTGTTATCCTTTTATTTTTGGTTTAGGGCCATGGGGTGGAGGATAGGGTGATTACAAGATTTTTTATTTAAAGCCTGGTTGGTTGTTTTTTTTTCGGAATGTCTGAGAATATTGCGGCAGTGGAGAATAAAAAAAGACGTGACAGACATAATAAAACTGCGGCAGAAAGGATAACAGAAATGTTGGTGAAATTTAAAGGCTTGAATTTCTATGCAGATGAAAAAAATTTAGCCTTTACAGCTAAAATAATCTTGAATTTTAGACAAAAATTAAAAAAAATACTTAAGGTCTTCAAAACTGTACAGAATTTCAATATTCTTTTTTAAAAATTGTTATAAAGAAGTATATATATACTATTTTAATTTTATTAATTTTTTATTTTATTTTTATTTATCAATTTTTAATTATTAATTTTTTATTTTATTTTTTTTAATTTTTATTTTATTTTTATTTATTATTTTTTTTATTTAATTTTTATTATTTAATTTTTATTTATTAATATTTAATTTTTATTTATAAATTTATTAATTTTTTATTTTAGTTTTATTTTTTAATTGTTTATTTTATTTTATTTACTAATCTTTTATTTTATATCTATTTATTAATTTTTTATTTTATTTTTATTTATTCATTTTTTATTTTATTTTTAATTTTAAATTTTTATTTATTAATATTTGATTTTTATTTATTAATTTTTTATTTTATTTTCATTTATTAATTTTTTATTTTATTTTCATTTATTAATTTTTTATTTTATTTTTTAATTTTTAAATTTATTTTTATTTACTAATTTTTTACTTTATTTTATTTATTAATTTTTATTTTATTTTATTTTTTTTTATTAATATTTAATTTTTATTTATAAATTTTTTATTTTATTTTAATTTATTAATTTTTTATTTTAGTTTTATTTTTTAATTTTTTATTTTATTTTATTTATTAATTTTTTATTTTATTTTTATTTATTAATTTTTTATTTTATTTTTAATTAATAATTTTTTATTTTATTTTTATTTATTAATTTTTATTTATTAATTTTTTATTTTATTTATATTTTTTAATTTTTTATTTTATTTTTATTTCTTAATTTTTTATTTTATTTCTATTTTTTAATTTTTTATTTTATTTTTTAATTATTTATAAATATTTTATTTTTATTTATTAATTTTTTATTTTATTTTATTTTTATTTATTAATTTTTTATTTTATTTTTATTTTTTAATGTTTATTTATTAATATTTTATTTTAATTTATTAATCTTTTATTTTATTTTTTAATTTTTTATTTTATTTTTATTTTTTAATTTTTATTTATTAATATTTTATTTTTATTTATTAATTTTTTAATTTTTATTTGCTAATTTTTTATTTTATTTTTATTTATTAATTTTTTATTTTATTTTTATTTTTTAATTTTTATTTATTAATATTTTATTTTAATTTATTAATATTTTATTTTATTTTTATTTTTTAATTTTTTATTTTATTTTTATTTAATAATTTTTTATTTTATTTTTATTTATTAATTTTTATTTTGTTTTTATTTTTTAATTTTTTTATTTTTATTTACTAATTTTTATTTTATTTTTATTTATTAATTTTTTATTTTATTTTTATTTTTTAATTTTTATTTATTAATATTTTATTTTAATCTATTAATTTTTTATTTTATTTTTATTTATTAATTTTTTATTTATCAATTTTTTATTTTTTAATTTTTTATTTTATTTTTATTTATCAATTTTTCTTTTTTAATTTTTTATTTTATTTTTATATTTTATTTTTAATTTTTTAATTTTTTATTTTATTTTTATTTACTAATTTGTATTTTATTTTTATTTATTAATTTTTTATTTTATTTTTATTTTTTAATTTTTATTTATTAATATTTTATTTTTATTTATTAAATTTTTATTTATCAATTTTTTATTTTTATTTTAATTTCTTATAATTAATTTTTTTTTTTTTGACTTACCCGATGCTGTGGTAAAACCTAAAACGGCTACCATCAAAACGACGGCCAGCGTACTAGACGACTGCCGTCTCATTTTTGTTTGTGAATTGGTCGCTGGTTGCTGCTCTGAAGTCTATCGATGATTTGAAAATTGGATGGATTCGTTTTGAATTGGGAAGGGAACGACGTTGCCTCGAAATAAAGGCCCCGTACTCCTTTCTCAATTGTCTGTAGACAAAACCCTTAGCTGGGCGTTAAGGGTCTGTTGTGATTTCTTCTCGATGACTATTGGAGCGTCGTTTTGATTTGTTTTTTTTTTTTTTTTTTCAATATTTTTTTATTCTTCAAACTATTTTCACTGTTTATTTTTTAAAATTAAATCCAAAAACTGTAAAAAAAAGAAAACAAGAGAATAAAAAACACACGTTCAGCTGGCACATTTATCTGCAAAGAAACAAGAGAGAGAAAAGAGAGAAATGTGAGTAAAGATTTGAATATTAAAAAAATGTGATAATTAAAAATTTTCTAAGATTGGGTTTTCAATATATTTTCTATGGTTGTAGTGTAATTTTCATATTCTCCCTCTCGAAAGGGGTTAACAGGTTTGCATTAGCTTAAATGTTTTGCCCTTTTGACCCCCCATCCATGTCATTTTTTCTAAACGTTTATTTTTTAACAAAGTAACCGCAGCATAGAACTGTCTTTTATTGGACAAATAATAAGAACACTCTCATGTTGGGCAGAGGCGTCTCCACAGAGGAGGAATAAATGAATACAGGGTGGGATAAAAAAAACTGCAACAAAGATAAACGCCATAATTTTTACATTTTTTTAATTTATAGTACACATTTCCAAAACCACCTCTTTACTACAAAGCTACCACTTCATCCGTTCACCCTGAAACCAGACTGTTCCAAAGTTAGTACCATTTAGTACAGATTTCCAAAACCACCACACTGACTTTGCTACCTTGGTTCTCACACCACATTTTAAAATTTTTAACTCTTTCCGTTCATATTATACAAAAACTGTACCATTTTTAAGATTTAGTACCATTTTAAATCTTTTCGTAACCTTAAAGTTCGAATTTCCAAAAACACTTTGATTTATCTATCCTCCAATCCATCAGTTACTCTCATTCCAAATTTCAGAATTCTAGCTCATTTCGTATATCCAATACAAAAGTATTCAATTTTTACTACATTTCAGTACTTTTCGTACCCTTTTAGTACGATTTTCCAAAAATCCAACCTTATCACATGCCTAAGCATTAAGACAGGCTTTCGTGCAAAATTTCAAGAGTATAGCTTAAGCTGTTTCGTCTGGGCGTTTTTCCACTCGATTTTACTCGGAGAGTAATTGCTCTCAATTTCGAGCATTTTTGGTCTCGCGCTTATTCTTTAAACTCATGAGCGTTTTCTTATAAAAAAGTGGGCAGTAAGCTTTGTGGGCAATTCCTATACTTTGAGCACTCCCACCCGCTCCTACTCTTTGAGTACACCCGCTCAAGAATATCCCTCGAATTCGCCCGAAAACTAGGCCACATTTTTTATTTATGTGACTCGAAGAACCAAATCTTAAGAACTAAAATAAATAAGGAAGGGGTGGGAAGAGGTTAAGAGGTGATCTGGTACAGAAAAATAAAAAACCTAAACTAAAATAGAGCTACCACTCGAAGAAAAGTTTGCTCGCTCTTATTCGAGCTTCCAGAAGAGCACTCCCTCGAATTCGAGTGAGTTTAACTCATTGAACAAATTCGAGCGAGTTTTTCGGTGGACCTGATTCCAATTGCTATGCCCGAGAACTAGGACACATTTTTTATTTATGTGACTCGAAGAGTCAAATGTTTAAAACCAAATTTAATAAGGAAGAGGTGGGAAGTGGTCGAGAGGTGATCTTGTACAGAAAAATAAAAAAACCAAAACTAAACAGAGCACGACAAGAGTAGTATGTACTTGATTTCGAGTGATCTTAGCTATCACTCAATAAAAAGTGAAGGGTTGCTCGCTCTTATTCGAGCGATATAAATAAATTGAGTTTACGATTATTTTTCTGCTCACAGGAGCATACTTGCTCAAATTCGATTGAGTTTCACTCATTGAGCGAATTCGAGTGAGTGTTTTTTTTTTTGCCTGATTCCAATTTCTATTTCCGAGAACTACGACACGTTTTTTTATTTATTTGACTCGAAGAGACAAATGTTGGAAAGCAAATTTAAAAAGGAAGAGGTGGGAAGTGGTCTGGAGGTGATCTTGTACAGAAAAATAAAAAAAAAACAAAACTAAAAAGAGCACGACAAGTGTAGTGATTGATTTCGAGCGTATTTTGCGAGCGATATCAATAAATTGAGTTTGCAATTTTTTCTGCTCCCAGGAGCGCACTTGCTCGAATTCGAGTGCGTTTAACTCATTGAACAAATTCGAGCGAGTTTTCCGGGGGGCATCATTCCTCTGCTCGAGAACTAGGACTCGTTTTTTTTTTTTTTTTTTTTTTTTTTTTATGTGACTCGAAGAGTCAAATGTTCGAAAGCAAATTTAATAAGGAAGAGGTGGGAAGTGGTCGGGAGGTGATCTTGTACAGAAAAAAACCAAAACTAAAAAAGAGCACGGCAAGAGTAGCATCTGCTTGATTTCGAACTTAGCTGTCACTCGAAGTGCACATTAAATGGTTCTCGCTCTTATTCGAGCGATATCAATACATTAAGTTAAGCGATTTTTTCTACTCTCAGGAGCGCAGAAATTCACTCGAATTCGAGCGAGTTTCACTCTTTGAACAAATTCGAACGAGTTTTTCGGAAATGTGATTTCAAATTCTTCGCCCGAAAATTAGGACCCATTTTTTCATTTGTGTGACTCGAACAGCCAAATGTTGAGAAACAAAAAAAAGTGCTCGACAAGAGTAGTGTCTGTTTGATTTCGAGCGGTCTTAGCTACTACTCGAAGCCGAGAGAAGGTTACCCGCTCTAATTAAACAAATTCAAGTGACTTTTTCGGGGGGCCCGATTTTAATTTCCACGTCCATGTTTCGTGTTTTCCCCCAACGGGGTTTAGTAATGAAATCAAATCTTTTACCCAAAGCCCTTACCCTCCCTCGCCCCATCCTCTCTCAAAGCATATCACATGTTTATGCGAAAATAAAAGAGAAAAAAAACGTTTTCTTTTTTTTCGCAATTTGTCGAATGAAAATGAAAACAAAATCGAGAAAAAGAAAAAAGAAATAGAGAAAAATCAAAAGAAAAACATGCTAATTCAATTAGCCGCCCCATACATGATGTATGGCAAGAAGGCAGCGAGAACAAAAAAACAACCCAACCCGTCAATGCGAATCGAAGTCAAAAAGGCTTAGAGATTCGCTTAAAATGTTCTCAGATACGTTGCCGAACGGTAGTGGTTATGGTGGTGGTAACAATTCAATCGCTATAATTTTGGCATTAATTATAATTTTGAATATTTTAATGATTATGCGGAAGATTATACAAATACAGGCGGTGTAAAAGAGAGCGAGTGAGAGAGAGAGGTGTTCCAGAAAAATATATAAATAAATAAAATAAAAAAATAAATAAAAATCGATAAAAATTGCTGGAAATTTTGAAAATCTTGAAAGTGAAGTTAGTAACTTTTTTGCTGTGAAAATGGATTTTCGTAATCTGTGTTCCAAAATCGATGTGGATGCAATACGAGGTAAAAATTCGGGGCAGTTTCAAAATTTTGAAAAAAAAAATATAATTTTTTAATTAATTTAAAAGCCTTTGGCGTGCAGTGGAAGCCTTTGAAATGTTGTTGTTATTTTTTGCTTTCGTTTTGATTTAACCTTTGTTTTTTCCTGCGATTTTGTGATTTCAGCTAAATTTCCACCCTTACCCGAGGTGATGACCCAGATTAAATTACCAAAGTCAATGTCAAAATTAAAGTCACGCAAAATTTTTCGCATGTCCCGTGAAGATGTCAGCCGTTCGTCGTCGAAACGACGCTCCTCCAGCATTGATGATATTGCCAAGCAACAACAAAATCCCCTGGGCCCTCCATTTAGTATACCGATACCGCCCACACCCTCGGATTTTGTAAATCACACCCCGGAAAGAATTTCCACCATATCTTCTTTGGTGGATCGAAGTGGTGGTGGCAAGGGTCGCAGTTTGGGCCGTGGGGCCACAATGAAAAAACACCATGCCTTCGAGGATCAGGATGAGGAGAATTTCTATCGCAGTGCAGGTGGCATTGATGACTATTGTCCCTCACCGGAACATATGCCGGCAACACAGCGCAGCTATTCCACCCGACCCATGAGTCCGCCAAGAAAAACAACCGGCCTCTCCCCCACTCGCCGTACCGCCTCGGAGCAAAATGTCAAAATGTCCTTTAAGGAGAAGTGTCAAAAGGGCTACAAAGATGCCTCGGAATTTCGTTTGAAACATGTCTTTGCCAAGAAGACGGTGGTGCGTCAGGACACCATACAGGTCACCGAATATGTGCGACGTTTTGAGGAAGAACGCCGCCAGGAGGAAAGTGAAGAGGAACGTGAGGCCCGGGAATTGGAGGAGAATTATGATTTTAATTTCCGCACCTCAAGGCGTAAATCGGATGAGTCCTTTGGGGTCAGTACCCCCAGAGATTCTCCGCAACGGCAGCAGCAGCCGCATTTGGCAAGGTTACCAACCTCGAATCCCAAGAAAACCCTTAGCGAGCAGAGTGGAGATGAAAGTGGCATGGAATTGACCCCACCTCCAAGGAGACCTGGTATTGCAGCCACCCGATTTTCGAGGGTACGCAAGGATCCTCTGCGTATGTCATTGGATGAGGATGATGGCATTAAATCTCCTCCCAAAAATCAAAAATCTGAGGAGGAAGAAGAGGAGGAGGAGGGGGATGACAATGACATTGAATTGGATGAAGTGGAGGTGGATAAACCCCCCATGCCCCTACATCCCATAGAGAGTGCCCTGTACAATAAAATCAACAAACAAAGGGAGGAAGAGGAGGCGGAACGCCTCCGGAAAAAGGAAAAACTGCAAAAGTCACGCAGCATTAAAAAGAGATTGGGAACCTTTAAAAGTGTCTCCCAGGAGGGTTCGCTGGCCAGTAATTCGCCCCTGAAAACGCGGCGAGCTCCCCTTAGCCCCCAGGAATCGGAGGAGAAATCGAAGTCCCCCAAGGCCGAGGGAGGAGGTTTAATCAAGCAGAATTTCAAACGTTTACAAAAGTCCATTAAACTACCCAACATGAGCTCATCCCGGGGTGCAGAGTCAGAGGGCGAGGCTGATGCGGAATCGGGAAAATCAAAACCCTCCAAAACCCAGCAATTTGCCGAGCGCCTCAAACGTTTCCGTTCCGTGGATAATGTGGACAAGCAAACGGATAATGAGGATGGAGGGGGAGGGGGAGAGGGCACCAAGACACCGGGTTCCCCGCTACAAAAGCTAACCCACAAACTGCAGGATTGGAAGAAAAGCTTCAAAAGGAAACCCTCGGAAAATACCGATGATGAGATGGCCACCAATTCGCCGCAGAAAAAGGAAAAGCCTGTTGGCACCCTCATTCGCAGATTGCAACACATACGCAATCGTAAACAAGCCAGCACCGATGACCCCGACGATGATGAGGAGGGGGGTCATAGCTATAGGGAAAGCTTTAAATCTCGGGCCAAATTGCAGCTGGAAAAGGGCATGGCTGCTGCCCAGCATATGCCTCAACTGACCATGGAGAAGCTGAAGGAATCCAAGAAATTGTTCCGCAAGAAACAGGAGAAGGACAAAGACAAGGATAAGGACACGGACAAAAAGAAGGACAAAGCAGGCGCCGCCGCCATGAAATTCAATGAAAGCGGAGTCTCTGATTTGGAGGATAGTGAGGAGGAGGAGAACAACGATGGCAAAATGAGAATGGCCCGTAAAAAGAAATCAAAGGATAACAAGGAAAAGGCCACGACCAGGCATTACTACAGCTCCGATGATGAGGAGGAAGACGATGAGGCAGGGGCAGCCGGAGGAGGGGAGGATGAAAAATCCACCAAAATCACCCTGGAACCATATCAGCAAAATGTCATGGTACCGCTGTCGCGGGCAGCATGGACGGCCAAGCCAATTCTCACAGATTCCGGAGATGATTTGGATGAAGATGATGATGTCCTACCCAGGGTCTTGATACATCAGGATAATACCGAAGGTTTTGAGTCCACTCTGATTATTGCGGTGAAATGTCCCATTTCCCGATCCCCCACGCGATCACCGGCCTACATTGAGGAATTGCCTCCAGACTATGAGGATTCTCCCAAGGCCTCTTCACCCATGGATTCTCCAAAGCCCTCTACCCCCGAAACCAGGGCCAATTTGGCTGAATTCCAGACTCCCCTGCCCCGTCGCGGAGAACGTCGAGCCTCCAAAGATTCGATGCTGTCTTCGGGATCACGCAGCCATCACTCAAGGAAGCAGTCCATCGATTCGAGCTCCGAAGATTCCTGGATGAAAGATGTACCGCGTGATACCTCCAATGTTATTGGTTTGGATAGGGTCTATGAGTCGGAGGAGCCTTGGAAAATCCATAATGGACCCAAAATGGATGAGAAGCTCTACAAGACCAAGAGCATTGATATCTTTGAGAAACACAAGCAGCAGGGCGGTGGTATGGCGTTGCACATATTTGAGGACTTTGATGATGAGCTGAAGAATACCCCGGTGGTCAAGATTAGCAAGGAGGAAGAGGATAGGGAATGGGATGAGGGAAAGCAAGAAGGGGGGTCTAAGAATCAAAATGAACCCGATGAGAGCGGTGAAGAAATGGATCAACCAGATGATGACAACTCCTCCAGAATAACCAAAATCCTAAGGCAGCCAGAGGTTCCAAAAACCGAAAAGGAGGAAGAAGCTGTGAAAAAGAAAGAAGAAGACCTGGAAAAATCCAAATTCGGCAACAAATTATATGGCAATAGCCGTGAAAGCCTCAATGGGAATATGGAAAGAAATGCCCCTCAGACGGATAGTGGGGCTGTGGAGGACAATGAGGATAGCAGTGAGGAGGATGATGATAACGACGACGACGATCCTGAGGAGGAAGAGAGCGATGAGGATAGGCCCCCCTCACACAAACCCTCGCCACCGCCCCAAGAGCCCACAACACCACCTCCACCAGTGCCACAGAGACAGCCCTCCATACGCCTGAGCTGCAATATACCCAGGCAACCACCACCACCCTTGCCGGAGACAGGAAAATCAGAGGAGGAGGAGGAAGACGAAGAAGGAGTAACATCACCACCACCACCCTTACCTCAAACAAAACCACCCCTGCCACCCAACAGGCCCCAGGTGGCAGCACCACCCAAAATACCCGAAAGAACCCCCTCCATGAACCGGATCAGTAGACCACTGGTCAAGACGGCCTCTCTACGTTTGGCCTACAGTGAACAGGTCAATCCGGAGGATGTGGGAAAGGTTAACAAATTAATTTCGAAATTTGAGCCACAACGGAGGCCAAGAATCATAGCCAGGAGAGTATATTCTTCGCAGGAATCCTCACAGGATTACTCTGATGATGAGGAGGCAGAGGAAGAAGAAACGGAAAGTGAAGTGGAGAAACCCAGGAGCCGTAATATGTCTCTAGATCGGACACCCACAAATAAACCGAAATTGCAAAAATCATTTTCCATTGAGACCCCTGATTCGGAGCAGGAAATGAAAGTGAACAACAAAAAGGAGGAGTCTTCTTCTTCAAGAATGCAAAGAAGGGCTCCAGAACCACCAACAGCTGGTAAACGAAATGAAGAAAATTCATCAAACAACAACAACAATAATCTGAGAGATTTGGAAAAATTACAAGATTTACACATTACGGAAACCAAGCACCCCTCTACGAACAACAACAACAATAATCCCGAGATAGTAATACAACGTGGACCCCCACCCTTACCCCCCTTACCGATTATCATCACTACCTCTTCGCAGGCATCACCAGTGAAAAGTTTAACTACGAAACGAAACAACTCAACTCTCAGTCAATACGACACCAATTCGAACTGTAGTCAACCGAATTCGGAATATGGCTCACCAATGGCCTATCCATCGAGTCTAATGGGATCCTCGACGGAAGTAACACCCACCTCGAATCGCAAAGAAACGGAATTTCTCAGCACGACTCAGCAGCAATATCGCTCCCAGCGACGCAGTATGGCGCGGGACGATGAGCACTTCTATTCGTTTGACAGTGATGAGGGTAAGTTCGATTTCAAAATTTTGAATATTTGTAATATTGAAAATTTATTTTTTTAATTTCCAGAAAATAGCTACTACTCCATCAGTTCAACGGGTAGCAATCGCTATGTGGTAGAATTATAGACAAAAAAATCGAGAGGCACAGCTGTCGAGAACAAACCAATGCAGGAAGCAAACGTTATATTTTAATAATTATTTATTGTAAACAATTTTAATTGTTGTTATTTGTTAATTTTAAATAATTTTTTTTCTAAGTTTTAAGAAAATCGATTATCGATTATTTTTCGAAAATGAACTTCGAAATGTTGCAATAAAGAAACTAGTCTAATTAAAACATTTTAAAAATTCAATTTTTTTTTTTTGTATAATAATTGAAAGAATTAAACCGAAAACTATTCGAAAATAATAAAAATATATTCGATATCAAGATATTTCAAAATTTTGCTCCTAAAAGTATGCCTCATACATCGACAAAATTGTAAATCAGATGCTTGAATTTTTCGATCAGAGGCAGGGTGTTTCTTAATAAAAAATATATATTTTTTTATAATAATTGGATGAAATGAAAATTTAAAATATATTCCATCGTAAGATATTAGAAATTCAGGCACCTAAAATATGCATCACACTTTGACAAAATTTTAAATTAGGTTATTAAAAATTTTCGATCAAAGGCACGGTGTTTTTTCTTAATTAAAAAAAATATATTTTTTATAAAAATTGGATGAATTAAACCAAGAACTAATTGGAAATAAAAATATATTGGATCTCAAGATATATGAAAATCAGGCTCCTAAAAGTATGCATCACACATTGACAAAATTGTAAATCAGATGCTTGAATTTTTCGATCAGAGGCAGGGTGTTTCTTAATAAAAAAAATATATTTTTTTATAATAATTGGATGAAATAAAAATTTAAAATATATTCCATCGCAAGATATTAGAAAATCAGGCACCTAAAATATGCATCACACTTTGACAAAATTTTAAATTAGATTATTAAAAATTTTCGATCAAAGGCAGGGTGTTTTTTCTTAATTTAAAAAAAATATATAGTAATTGGATGAATTGAACCAAGAACTAATTGGAAATAAAAATATATTCGATCTCAAGATATTTGAAAATCTTGCGCCTAAATGTATGCATCACACATCGACAAAATTGTAAATCAGATGCTTGCATTTTTCAATCAGAGGCAGGGTGTTTCTTAATAAAAAATATATATATATTTTTTTATAATAATTGTATTAAATCAAAATTTAAAATATATTCAATCGCAAGATATTCGAAAATCAGGCACCTAAAATATGCATCACACTTTGACAACATTTTAAATTATATTATTAAAAAAAGCCACGGTGTTTTTTCTTAATTTAAAAAAAAATATTTTTTTTATAATAATTGGAGGAATTGAACTAAGAACTAATCGAAAATAATAATATATTCGTTCTCAACATATATGAAAATCAAGCTCCTAAAATTATGCACCACACATTGTCAAAGTTTTCCTCAAAAAAGTTGACAACTAGTTTATTGAATTTTTCGATCATTTCGGACATGACCAGGTGTTTTTCTTAATTTAAAATATATTCCATCTCCAGATATTTGAAAATCAAGCGCCCAAAAGTTTTTGAAATAGCTGTAAAGGATTTTCTCAACAAAAGCACATATGCTTCACACATCAGAGGACAAAAAATGGAATCCTGGAAAAAACTCATCTAACATTATCTGCTTTAAGATGATTAAGTGTTTTGTCCATTACAAAATAAAACGCCAAAAAGTATGCATCACACATTAAAGCAATTTTTTATTGCTTCATATTTTAGACCTTTTCATTAACGTCAATGTCAAATTTGAGGATTACATCCCTATTTCTTCACCCAATACCAATCCCAGATACCAACAGAGACTTCAATATTTCTTCACGATCATATATTAGATCTATTCCTTCACCCAATAACCAATATAGTACCACTTAGCAATCTTCGATCGATTATAGTACACATTTCCGAAACCACCTTCATATTTTCCAGGCAACGCATGAACAGCGACCCTGATAACCATTTTCAGATTCTAAGAACTTTATTTATTTAACAACTTTTCGTGGGCTTAAAGTTCAAATTTCCCATAACCCTTTAATATGCTGTTCTGCACATATCACAATATTCCATTCGGCAAATATTGAAAAATAAGCTCGTGGTAAAGCCATTGAAATTCCAAAAAGTGCAGGAACTTACACCGTAACAGAAAGAAAATAGACTCAAATGAGCTAAAGAGTTGTTTCGCTTGACCGAAAGTGGTGAACTGTCGAATTTGGTTTTTTCCGCTCCGATGAGAAAACATTCGTTGTCGTTGTCCAGCAGTTTGTAAACAAACAAAATGATCGTGTTCACTTGCCAAAGAGGTCAATTGAAAATGTGCACCTTCGGTTGGCCACCAGAACTCAAGCGCCGGCCATGGTGATAGTTTGGGCCTTTATAACAGCCGGTGGTCGCTCTTCGCTCGTATTAATCGACCGTGACATCAGAATAAGTGCCGAATATTATCGCGAAAATATTCTGGAGGGTGTAGTAAAGCCTTGGGCACGCAAACATTTTGGCCGCAGACCTTGGACATTCCAACAGGACTCAGCACCATCGCACTCAGAGGCACACGCCACCCAAGAATGGTAAAAAATTTGGTTCTCCTCCGAATACCAATCCGTTGGACTATTGTGTCTGGAGTGTTATGGAAAGCAAGGTTGGCATTAAAAAATACCAAAGTGTCGATCACCTCAAGCATGCGCTTCGCCGGGAATGGGCCAAAATACCGCAGAGCAACATTCGGGCAGCGTGTGACGGTTTCATTGGCCGTTTGAAGGCCATAATTCGTGCCAAAGGTGACCAAATTCGAACAAATCTAAACTTATTCTAAAATTTGATGCTATTTCCGACATTTTTTTCGCATGCATTCAATAAAATTAAAAAAAAAAAAAACAAGTAAAAAATGCTGTAATTTTGGCCGGGCCGAACTGTGAATATCCTCCACCAATTGGAACGAATTTGGCAATTCTCAAAAACAATAAAATCCGTTAAAAATTCTGTTAAAATCTTAAAAATACCGAATGTAGCTGTTATATTAGGGTCTATACGCGACGACATGGACCTGGGCCTCAATTCTTGTTCTATGAAAATGTGAAATGAAAACTTTTATAGAGGAAAGAAATGTCAAACGAAAAATATTATCATGGAAATATTTTTCATTTCATATTTTCATAGAACAAGAATCCAGCCCCTGGATAGGTAACTTTCGCCATAAGCCATTACAATATTGAAATGCGAAATTTAAAAAAAATCGGTGAATAATGTCGCTAAAATCATCAAAATACTGAATATCGGGAGGTAGCGTTATATGGGGGCTATACGAAGACGTGGACTTGCACAGACAATCTCCTGTCATAGGCTGTAGCATCCATTACGAACATCAAATACCAAATTTGAAAGAATTCCGATAAATATTGTCGTTAAAATCATCGAAATACCGAATATCGGGAAGTACCGCTATACCAAAGCGTGGAAAATCTCATCCTGTATATTAGTCGGCAAAACCGACTGATACTTTTTAATTTGTTTTAATTTAAAAATAATATTTTTTGAGATAAAATCAGATGCTTTACATTGGGCGCCATTGAAGTCAAAATTTATTTAAATTGAATATTTGATTTCTAAAGTAAAATGTGCAACTTGGGCGCCATTGGAATCACATGTGTCGCCAGTTCTCTCTCTCTATCTCTCCCTCTCTCTATCTCTCCCTCTCTCTCTCTCTCTCTCTCTCTTTTTCTCTCTTTCATTACTTATTTTATTATTTTTTGTTTTATTGGCTGAATAAGTGCGGGTATTGGGGTTATTGTGTACCACTATCATAAAACTCGAGTTAAAATTAAAATAAAATAAATTAAAATAATTTACACTGATTTTTTTTTCTGGATCTCACACAATGCCTTTGGAAATTTCTCCTGAAATATTTTTGAGTTTTACGTTGGGCGCCATTGAAATCATAATTTATTCGGAGTCTCTGGCAATGCTTGTAAGAATGTCCCAAGAGATCTATGAATTTCAAAGGCAGGAAACCCCACATTGGGCGCCATTCAAATCACATTTGTCATCTGGCATATTAAATACCCCACCCTCCCGCTCTGTTCACTTTCATCACTCATTTAATTTTTTTTTTCAAATAAAAAACACGCTAATTAATTTGATTCATTGGCTAAATAAATACGGGTAGACAGAACCACATCGAAACCCCTATTAATTATTAAACACCACTTCAAACTAAACGAAAATTATAAATATTTAACATTGAAATTGTTCGTATTGTTCTGGGATGTGAACAAAAGCGGAATAAATGACAAAAGCCATTGATGATGATGATCCAAGCCCAAAAACAACATATTGTTGTAGATGACGACTCGTGTCATCACTTCAATGACACATACTACATTACTGCTTTGGAGGGTAGCATTGAGGGGTTGAAATACCAGGCAGGATACCCTGACGTAAACAGCGAGAGTAAGCGATTGTGTTCATTTGTTTTTCTCTCTCTTGGATATTTTTTAATTCTTTTATTCATGATTATTATCCGCTTTTATTTTTTCCCGTGTCCTTCGCCCAAAGTTTTGCTCAACCATGCAATGCCACCCACCCACCCATTCCACCATTTCACTTTTTTTTGTTATTGTCTCCTGCCTTATTTGCAAATACAGACAGTCAACGGCGGCGACGGCGACTTGATGCTTGGCTGGTTTGAAAGGACGTTATTAAAACGCTCAAACATCCATGTCAATTGACATGGAATTTCCATTGCTACTGCTTCTTCTTCTTCTTCTATAATTTTGCGAGCCTTCATAATTTGTCCTTTTGGGTTATACTATATGGGAATTTTTCACTTAATGAAATCCTATGCGTTCGCTCTCTCGCTTATTTGGCCTTCATTGCAACGTTGCCAAATTTCGTTATGGGAGTTTGTGGTTTTTGTTAAGGAAAATGAAATGGAAATCGAAATTTGATTGAAATGTGGTTTCATCACTTCGCCTCTAGCTGCTGCGGCTGCTGATGGTCAGATTATGACATTGGAATTTAATTACTTGCACATCCAGATCATAATTTTTTTGGGTGAAAATATTTGGGAATGTTTAAAGGTTATAACAAAAAATGTGAAAAATTGATTTTCAAAAAAAAAAAAAAAAAAAAAAATGAAATTATAAAAAAATAAAAAAAAAATCCGAATCAAAATTAATCGAAAGAATGTTGCGGCAATTTACAATAAAATATATTTTTATTAAAAAATAATCATTAAAAACCGCGTA